CCAAAGACTTATACTTAACTTATGTACATGATATTGATTGCAAAGCATCCCCTCCTTGAAATGTCTGTGTTGTGAAGTGTTTTGGGGGTGATATTGTCCAACCCTCAGGAAGCTGCTAAAGAGAGAATCTATGTTGCAATGCAGAATTGTACATATTTTAAAAGTATTCATGTTGTGTGATATGCTAAATATACTCATTCATTCAATAGTTGATGGAGATACAGTGGAGCTAAAACAGACAGGTTTCCTCCCCTCATGGGGCTTAGAGTCCCAGATAAATATTAATCCAAATTTAAACTATAACTGTGGTAAGTAATGGAAAAGGAAGGTATATGTGACGTCTGAGGGTTAGTATGAGGTGAAGGTAAGGCCAGGTGAAGACGGTGGAGGTGAGCAGAGGAGAGAGCCCTCCAAGCAGAGGGAATAACAAAAGCCGGGGGGTGGGGGAAGGAAGGAAACATCTCCAAAGGCCTTATAGACCATGTTACAGGTCTTTAAAGTAAGAGCAAAAGGCAATCATTGCAAGGTTTTGAAAGGTGAATGGGTTAAGGGATGAGAAATCAAATTTGCATTTTGAAAACTGCACTGTGGCTGGCAGACTGGAGAGAGAGTTAGAGGCAGCTAGAATGGAAGGTAAGAGTCTAGCTAGGAGTGACTGCTGTCGTCCAGGAAAGAGATAATAGTGGTTTGGACTAAGATTGTGGTGGAAAAGATGGAGAAAAGTGGATGGACTCAAGAGAAATTTAAGAGGTAAAATCAACAGACCTTGTTGGTGGATTAGATATGGTGGTACGAGAAAGAGAGGTGCCAAAGGTAACATCTAGGTTTCTGGTTGCAGAACTGGATGGATGGTGGTTGTGTTGTCCGTTGACAGGAGGCGTGCTGTACTGCAATAGCTTCCAGATGCCCTCCTCCACTCAGCTTGTCAGGAGCTAACATCAAGTGGTAACAGTCACCCCACATCTGCTGTGACACTCATGTTGAATTCTTCTGCCAGTGATAAGGACAAAATTTCTTTTTTGCAGATCAGTTTTGCAATGACAGTCATTTTCATGGAATAAGATTTTTTTTGTTAGTTAATAAATTGAATCTTTTATTTGACATCATGGAAACAAAATAGTGTGATAGAATAATGCATGCACCTCTTTAATGGTCTCAGGCCAATTAGAAAAGAAGAGCAAAGGATTTAAGATGTAAACAATGCGAAACGAAAGCCAAATGACATCACAGCATGTTATAGAGACAAAAGTTTGGCAGTATTTTCAACAGAGAACTGCAGTGGGAGAAGCTGAGTGTTCATACCATGCATAGTAGTATAGGCACAATATGAAACGTTATATTACGTATTCACTCTATGAAGGAAAGAATTACATACTTCCCACCTTTGTAGTAATAACTCTCTAAGTTCATTAACAGTAAGAGTAGTAGTTAGAATGAAATGAAGAATTGCTTTAAAAAAATTTTGAAGTACTATTATATTGAGATGTACTATCAAACTGGCCCCACAAAATAACAGATAAGTGTTCAAAAAATTAGCTCCTTGTTAAAAAGAGGAAAAAATTGACAGTAATTATCTAATTTCAACAAAACAATAGTATCCACCACATTAAATTAGTGTTGTGTTGATTCTGTAGTCTTACATGTACGTAATTTGTAATTTTATTTTAATTTTACAGTGATATAAGAGCCATAAGCATAAGGACTTTATACACGGTTTTATGAATATACATATTTGAGTAATATCATAAATAATTTAAGTCAGCATCAAGGGTTTAGGAGAATTATTTCCCTTAAAAGAGGTCTGAACCTTATTCCAATTTGGGAACCACTGGGCTATAGAATTAAACTAAACTTTGGCTTGGTATACAAGACCTTCCATGATCTGGCGCTACATAATACCACAGCTTCCTTTCCTGTCACTCTCCTACTCAAATCTGAGGTTCTGACAACACTGTAATTTCCATGTTTTTACTCTAGCTGTTTCCTCCACCCAGAACAACCATCTAAATCTACGCAGCTAAAATAACAAGCATCACAGCCCATAGACAGCCCTTGGGATTTTACTCCTCCCAGAATGACAACTAAAGATTACTTACTCAACTGAATAAAATGATACAGTATGTCTAACATCTCTAATGGTGAGACGTGCGTGGGGGATTCTCCCACATTATTGTGAAGTATGAGCTGGGCACCTGTCAGGCCACTGGCAGGTGGGAGGCAGTGGAGTCCCACTAAACCGGAGAAGCCAGAACCAATAGTCCAGCCAAGATGAAGCTTCTCTCTAAAGCAGGTCTAGGCAGACTGGAAGAGTGGTCACTCCCAGCCTTCCCCAAAACTTCTCCAGTGTTTTGCTTTATAGATTTGGGCTATTGATTAGAAGAAGAGATAAACAACTTTGGTCTACATTGGTGATAACTTTTTTGGCATGAATGTCAGTTCAGGAAAATTAAAAATCTATGCAGGCTGTGTCTATTTTTCATTCAAAATAATTCATTTATTGAGTCCCATGAGGAAAAAATATATACTCTTGAAACACAAATTATATACTTCATTGATTACAGGATCACCAATGAGAAAAATCAGCATTAATTTTCAGCTACTAAAATGTTACTCTCTGAGCGTATTTGAGAAGTAACAATATTAAAGCATGTTTTTAAACTCTAATCCTAAAATTAGATCTAGGTGGATGACATATGGCCTGCAGCTGGCAGGCCACTGATCTAAAGGAAAAGAAAGAAAAAAGATTCCTTCATGAGTCAAAGTTTATATTGCTCAGGGATTCAGAAACAACTTGAAATTTATATCTATTTCACTTTCTATTTGGTTGTAGGTTCTTACAGTTCTAATCAAACATCAGGTTTTAAAATACTTATCTAAAAAAATACTCATCTAGTTTATTTTTTTGATTTCTTGATTTATTTATACATATGCTGTTTGCATTCTATATTCTATGTGTAGCAAGTTTGAGAAATTTTTCAACTTTTTTTCTTCTAGATTTATTCCATTTACCTAAAGCAGTGTTTCCCAAAAATAATCCATGGAGTACTAGTTCTGCAGGATATCCTGAGAAAAAGAAATTTCCAAAGTTAACTAAGTTGGGGAAATTATATATACAATATTCAAGTCACATTAACATTTTAGCTAAACACTCTGAGAAATCCTACAATAATAAAATCTGTTCAGCCTTGTTTAATTCAGCATTTCCCAGACTTATTTGAACGTGAAATAACAAATAGAATTTTTTTTAGGAAAGCATTTAACATCCTGTAGACTAGTGTTCTGCAGAAAATGCTTTGGGAAATGCTGATCCAAAGTCATCTTTTAACAAAGGGGAAAAAAAAAAAAAAAGACTTCCCAGAGGGGAAGGGATTCTCAAATGATGAAAAATGATGCTGAGGATTGTGGAGGGATGATTCTTATCAGTATCGAGCTGAGTGAAGCTGAGAGAAAGGCTCTTGTGCTTGCAGGAACTGAGGGTGCTTCAGTCAACCCAGACATTTTAAGTCCAGAAGATTCCATTCAGGCTGAAGCAACCTGAGCAATCTTGAGAGAGGCAGGATAACAATAACAACTACTATTTCTGCGTTTTTTACTGTTATTTCTGCTTCAATTCATTAACTGCTTAGGATAGAAAAGGTGCTATACAAACATTATCTCTAATCACACAAACCCCCTGGAAGAGGGGTTTTATCCTTCCAATATCAGAGATGAGGAAACTGAGGCTGAGAGAGGGTGACATGATTCTAGTCGAAACACGATTTAGTTTTAGACTTTTCTTGCTGCGTCATGCCAACTCAGTCCGTAATGCTTCTTCATTGAAGTCACTGCTCTCCCTTTGTTCTCTAAGCCACTGATTACCCTCCCTTCTCCCGGAGCCTTCCCTAACAGAAATAATTCTAGAATAAAACAGGTTAAACCACTGATGACTTTGGTCCACTTAACCATACCATGTCTGGTTTCCACCACGAATCAAATATTTGCACATTCTAAATCTGACAAGATCTATGATCACCTAAGCATGGCAAGGGATTTTGAAATTACTTCCCAAGGCTTTTTAAGAATCACACAAGGAAATCAATCTTAACATTCAAAGGCAAACTCAAATGCCTACGGAGACCAAGCAGGTAACATAAATGAGAGGAGACAATAGCTGGTGACAGAGACTGTGATGATCAAAAGAGAATGTGCTCCATCCAAAGGGCTTCACCATTTCTTAGCTTTGGCAGATTTTTGTCAAGCAGAAATGTGAGCCCAGTATTGCTTGATCTTGTTTTTCAAATGAAGCCAGAAACACAGATTTTATGTGAAATCTCGCAAATTTTAAAATGTTGACAACTAACTAATTTCTTAAAAACACTAGCTGGGTCAAAAACAACAAAAACTTGTAGGCTGATAGCTCGTGACCTCATAAGTCAACTTCTACTAAAAACAATATTACCTCTGCCACCTCCCATTTACTCCACTAATCCCTCCCTCCATTCAGTAGACCTGGGTCCAAATTGCTTTTGACACACTCAAAAAATCAAAGAGTAAGCCTTGCCAGTACTGAAGTCATGTTTAAAACCTGAGTCTGAAGTCGATTATAAAAAAGGAGACCTCTCATTTTTTTTGAAAGATGGCAGAAGGGTTAAAATAAGTACGTGTGCCACTTGAAGGCAATGGCAGTCATTATTTGCCTTTTCTATGATGCATCATACGCCAGAGTGACACCAAAGTATGAGGAGGCCATTAGCACTGCTCCAGTGACCAAATATTTTTGCTTCCTCCTCTCCAAACTGATTTGCCAGATTACTTTTGGAGAATAGATTCAGGCCCAGTTAGGGCATGGGGTGGGGTATTCCTCCATGATATTTTCTTGTCTCCAGGGGTGCTTGTAAGAGAGGTGGCTAATACCACCTGACACCTGTATTATTCAAAGCTAGGGCTTCGAGGAGTGGCCTATGGTCTTTTAAAGTTCAACATTGTCACTAAGTCCCCAGAGAAGAGCCAAGGAGAGCGAGATGGAAAGAGCTTGGCTCCGTGGGGAAGGATTCCTCCTCTGCCTCATTTTCCACCTGCTGTTTCAAGGTAAGATGGGACAAGAGCAAGAGCAAAGCAGACAATAACTTCCAGGAAACAGAGAAACCAGGCTAATTTTTGTTATTCCTAGAGAATGACTAGATGTTCATTTGGGTAAAAATGGAAACTCATTACACTGACAGCTTTATACTTCTTTCTAGGATCCTAATAGTTGACTATTCTCTTCAGCTACTTCATTCCCCAGCTTTCTCTTGGCCTCTCCTCTGTCCCCATGTCTTTCTCTTCCAGGCATATAATCTATCCCCATGGCTTCTGATATCAACCGATGTTAAGAAGAAGAAAATTCTTCTTTCTCAGCTCTCTTGAAGCACCTGAAATGGAACAGGAAATATGCTAAGGGGAAGGAGATGGATGAGAAGATCTGTCATGAAAGAGGGAAACTTTTTCAGTCTAGTTTTCCCAATATAGAGTATTTTTCTTGTTTATTATTGAAATGAGCAATGAGGGATAGTACAACATCAGAGATAGACAAAAATAGGCTCTACCAGAATATGTTACTACATAATTCTCTGTTTCTGCTCCACAAGTATGACTACCAAGGGATAGATATAAGGTGGGTATCAATGGACTCACTTTAAGATAATTTCAGTGGTGTTGACTACTGAGTTTTAGATGCGAACAATCTGAGCACATAGTAGAGATACAGTAAATACTCATTAAATAGAAAAACTGAGTTCCTTCCTTCCTATAAGCTCTCAGCTATCTTACACTACCTACCCAATTCTTTCCCTCATCATTAATTTATGATCAGCTGTGCCTTACTAATACAGTGAGGAGCAGAATGTGATTGCAGCCTTTGCCCCTGACATCACGCCGATGGCTCAAGGACAGAGACGAGCAATGGAAGGACAGTGATTGAAGGCGGAGAGGTTAGCGGTGAGATTGTTAAGAACAAAGCAGGACACTGAAAAGTAGTGGTCAGGGCTGAGTTTGCATCCACATTTGGACAGGTTTTGCATGGAGGCAGAAACAATGGAATTGAGGATGCAGCCTGACTCCGCCCACCTCATCAGCTTCACCATTCGCGTACCAGCCCAACCCATACTCCCTGGTGCAGGAAGGGGGAGTTCATATGCTTCTCCCAAGCCCCCTGCTTTCTCTCCTTGAAGAAACACTCCCCAAGCCCCAGCCCTGGTACTCCTCTCACAGGGTCTCTGTTCTCTATGGGAAGAGGAGACACTTTCACCATCAATTGCTCAGGCTTTGACTTGCATGGGGTAGATCCTGCTGTCTTCCAAGCAGTGTTTGACAGAAACGCCTTCCGTCCAGTCGTCAACTACAGCAGCCCCACTCATGTCAATATCTCCTTCACTCTGTCAGCCATCCTGGAAGTAGTAAGTCCTGGCTTAACCCTGAAATGGTCCAGTGGTGAGCAGTGGGGCCCCTGATTGGATTTTGTAAAGTTAAGAGCTCATTCTATGGGGTGGGAGACATGACAGGGAATGCTACAATAACATCACTGCAGGTAAAATCCATCTCTTTTTGGAATACTCTACTAGAAACGTTATCCCAATGGACTTTCATACTAGTTTTTTCACTTGCATTTCCCACGTACTCTGGATTATTTGACCTATACTTTTCAGTGGCTTATGAATAAAAATCATAATTGCCACATAGAACAGCCTTGGAAATGAGTAAGAGGTAGGTGGTGACATTGGACCAGACTTCACGGAGTTAATGATCCTGGATGGAAATTGTTTTTCCAGAATGAACAACTTCAACTGATGACATCGTTCCTGTGGCTAAATATGGTATGATAGACTCAGTTTCCCCTTTACTGTGGTACCTCCCTTTTTCCACTTCTAGTCCAACTTTGCAAATTATAATGGATAAAGCCTAGAATACCCACGAGTTAGACAAGTTCAAATAGATCCAGATCAACAATGAAAACACAAGACATCCTAATTATTCTGCCAGTCTAAGAGGGTGGAGATGGAGCACAGGAAGAATGTGGCATAAACTGAAGTCATGGAAGCCAATACTTAAGTGGCTCCATCCCAGGGAATCCAAAGCTGAGCTCAAGGGCTCCACTGAGAGCACTGAGGGAGAAGTGGAAGCAAGCAAGACTCTATTAGTGATATTGTGAAAGCTGTCACCAGAGAGGGGGTGGAAGAATGAAGAAATGAGTGGAAAAAAGGATGTAAAGTGCAGAGGACAGAGCAAGACTAAAACTAGCTCCCACCCCATTTGTCCTACAACATGGTTTCCTCTAGATCTGGTACCATCCATTCATCAGGTGGAACCCAGAGGAATGTGGGGGCATCAGGAAGCTCAGCATAGCAACTGAGAACCTATGGCTTCCAGATATCTTCATCAAGGAGTTGTAAGTATCAGGGCTGAAAAAAAGCATGACGGAAATCACATCTCCAGGGAAGGGGACAATGTAACCAATAGGGGCCACACAATGACTCAGCTTACAAAGGAGCAATGTCTGAACTGAGGAGCTTACAAAACCCCCAGAACATGGAGATAGGTGGAAGGGAGAAGTCAGATGAGTGGAGCTTGAACACAGGAATGGGGTGACCTGAGGGACAAAGAAGGCCAAGTCTGATGGGAAACGTACAGCACCCACCTCCTTGTCCTTCTCACACACAGCATGGATGTGGATCAGACACCTGAAGGTCTTATGGCTTATGTCAACAGTGAAGGTCAAATCGAATACAATAAGCCAATGCAAGTGGTCAGCGTCTGTAACTTGGACATCTTCTATTTCCCCTTTGACAAACAAAACTGCACACTCACCTTCAGCTCTTTCATCTACCCTGGTGAGTGAGGTTCATTATAGTAGCCTGTTGAGAGGCAGAGAAAGAGTTTTGAGAGAGAAGAGGACAGAAAACACTCCCACAGAAAGGGATGTGGGAGCTTAGTGGCAAGGAATCCAATAGTCTGGGCAAGGGGTTGGAACCATTTGGAGAGGCTGTGTTATCTGGATCTCTTTTGCAGCAGAGAGCATGGTCCTGGGCATGGAGAAGGAAGTGCAGGAGATTTTGAACACATCACAGGACCTCATTCGGAGCAAAGGGGAGTGGGTTCTTCTGGATATTCACCAGACAACAACGAAGATGACCGTGGGCACCAAGAAGTACAACCAAATCATTTTCTACGTGAGCTTAGGGGCCATGGTTGTGATCGTCTCCTAAGATGCATAGTTTATGTCCCCGCTAGAATGTAAGATCTTCCACTAGAAAGTAAGTTCCATGAAGGAAGGAATTTTTATCACTTTTTTTCACCCATAAATCTCTAGTACCTAGAACAGTACCTGGCACTCAGTAAAAATTGATAGATTAAATCCTCCCTGAGGAAGAAAAGAAGCTCCTATGGCAGTGATTCACAGTCAGAATGAGCTTCCCATCCCCAGGGCTATCAGAACGTTTTGCAGGAAAGGAATTTTTATGTTTATAGTGTAAAAGTTATGAAACATTGTCTTGGGGATATTATGATTCCGAATCCTGGTGATCTCAAAATACCTGCCACTGTCTTATTTTCCCTCCCACTGGTCTTGAATGTCCACCAGCAAAGTCACTAGAGATTAGACCTTACTGAGGAAAGCAAGCAGAAATACAAAAATAAAATGCACAAGATACCTAAGAATCTGGTCCCACAGTCCTGCTAAGAGCACACTGGTAGGCATAAAAATTTAAGTAGAGAAAGTTGACACTTTAGGTCAAGAAGGAATGAGATACATTTCAATGGTAAGCGGCATGGCAGAATCAAATCCTGGAAGGGCAAACTGTGGTGGTGAAGATGACTTTGATTTTTTCTTTTTTATTAAGAGACAGGACAGTGAAAGGGACTTAAGGTAACATTTTCTTACTAGAGTTTGGTCTGGGACAAATCTCAACTCTTGCTCTCAAACTGGCTTGGCAGCCTCCCAGCCCACTCCTCACTTGCCCCCCCCCCTCCCCACCAGGTGGCCATCAGGCGCAGGTCCAGACTCTACACCATAAACCTTCTGGTGCCCAGTAGCTTTCTGATAGCCATCGATGCCCTCAGCTTCTACCTGCCAGCAGAAAATGAGAATCGTGCCTCATTCAAGATGACACTTCTGCTGGGCTACAACGTCTTCCTGCTCATGATGAATGACTTACTCCCCACCAGTGGCACCCCCCTCATCAGTATGGCCCCTTCCTCCATCAGGAGAATAAAAGCAAGGTGGGGGGTGTGGTGGGCAGAGGGACCAGTGGGACCAGGTCAGAGTGGAAACTGATCCTGGAGAATGACCCTCTGGGGAAAGAGGGAACAAGAAGTCCTGGATGGTGCCTCTGGCCCTCAGGCAGGCCCGCCTTCCCTCCAGGTGTCTACTTTGCCCTGTGTCTGTCCCTGATGGTGCTCAGCCTGCTGGAGACCATCTTCATCACCTACCTGCTGCACCTGGCCACCACCCAGCCCCCACCCATGCCTCGGTGGCTCCATTCCCTGCTTCTACACTGCACCAGCCCAAGGAGATGCTGCCCCACTGCACCCCAGAAGGGAAACAAGGGCCTGGGCCTCACCGCTGCCCACCTGCCTGGTAAGGGAAGTCAGCACTGCCCACACTTTCTCTTCCAACACCTCCACTTCTCTGCCCCTGCCTCCTGCCCTGTCCCCTCCTCCCCGGGTGATTTTCACAGCCCATGTCTGAGTCTCTGTTTCTCTGTAGGTATGAAGGAGCCGGTGGAGTGGGTGGGGAAGGTGCCAGGTCCCAGAAAGGCAGTGCTAAATGGGAGCCCTGGGTCAACAAGGGCCCAGCAGGAAGATAAAGCTCAGAAGCAGCACTTGTGGGTGCGGTTCAGCCACACGATGGACACACTGCTCTTCTGCCTCTACCTGCTCCTCATGGCCGCCACTGTCGTCACGGTCATCATCCTCTGGAACACCTAGGCAGATGCGCGCCTGCAAACCCCAGTCTGGAGCTTCTCTTGCCTCCGGAAACTAGCCAGGCTCTCAGGTCTGCTCAAATCTCAGCCTCACAGCCCCGACAGCCACCTTGTTTTCAACACGGTCCTTCTGTGCAGTTTCCCACCAGACCAGGATGGTTTCCTCTGCCCTTCCAGAGTTAGGTCCTGCTCCTTCACACCATCAGCTCCTCTCAGCCCTCTCACAAATCCTGCCTGCCTGGCTCCTCAGGATTCAGGTTCCTGGAATACTTTCTTGATTGAATCCCATCCAATAAACCCCTTTGCAGAAAGCATTGGCTCTTCCCTGCATTATATTTATAGTATCGAAAATCTTGGGATTGAGAATCTTCTTGCAGAAACTTCTCATCACCAAAGAAAGAAGGATTTTCTTATTTTTTTAAGTCTATCAGACAACATGTGAAAGTGGGGACAGGGGAGAGAAGAGGCCGAAATCTATTACAAAGAATAATAATAAAATACAGATTAACCTCCTAAATCTAGTTATTCTGGATTTAAGCTTCAGAAATGAATAATGTGCCAGACCCAGCCATCTCTTGCTTAAAGAGTGAAGCCTTTTGTCACACCCTGACATATGACTCATTCATCATTAAACACTTAGAGGGTTAACATAATCTCGAATTACCGTTAATGGAGTCCGTGTTGCAATTAGAGTTGATCTGCTCTTAATCATACTAAGTAAAGAACATTAGGCCAAGGAAAGCACATTTGAAAATGGCATCTGCTTCACTTGGGAATAACACAAATCCCCCGTATGAGCTGGAAAATTCCCCTTCTTAGCACTTGCCTTATTATTTTGAAAGTCTGTGTCTATTGGCCCATCTCTCCCACTAGCTGCCTGGGCGAAGGAGAGGCCCCGGTGTATTGCTGTACATGAGAGTTGTGGCATGATTTGCTGGACACTCCAGGATCAGAAAAGCACGGATTTGAGAGCGATTACAATTCACACATAATCTTTTATTTTTAGCAACTATTTCTTTTCCTTTTTTCCATTTATTCTACTATTTCCTATCCCAAGTCTAAATTCCCCAGGTCAAAATAGGCTAGGAATAAAAAGGGAGTCAGAATATTGTTCACTAAACAATATTTCCCCGGTTCCTCCTCTCTACTGCTTTTCTCAAACTCTTCTGGCTCCTTCTGGTCACTGTAGATGCTCGGAGGATGACAAGACTGCCAGTGTCCACTAGAAGTGCTGCTGCTGCTGTGCAGGCCCAAGATCCTACCCCAATGTTCGCTCCAGGGGCATCTGCTCTCTCAAAGCCCCACCACTGAATCCTGTGGTGGCAGAAGTTCTGAGCTGGATGCTAAGTCACCAGGACCAGTTGTTACTTGCTCTTTCCTTGCAGTCTCCTTCTGCTGGGACTCAGGCCAGAGTCCATGGGAATCTGGGAGTATTGAGGCAGAAATACTCTGCTAAACTCTGAATGGCTCCTTTCACTCAGACCTGTAGTCTTTCAGCTAAACTTGCATCCCTTAATTCTCCTTTTTTTTTCCTCTGCATTTTTTTTTTCCAGGAACGTCTTTGGCTCCTCAGTTTCTAGAACCCTGTCAAGCACTCCCCTCACCATCGCCAGTCCTCCAGGTGTGTCCAAAACCTAGTGGATACACAATCTGTGTTCAAATCAGGAGCCCTGACGTTCACCTAAATTAATTAGGGTATCTGTTTTTGGCAGTTCCTCAACTCACAGCTTTCTACAAAGTGGGCCTTTAGAAAGGACACAGTATAGTAATAACAACAACTAAAATTTATTAAGTTATTAATCTGTGGCAGACATGCCTCTAGGTGCTTTAGATGAATAAGCACATTTAATCCTTACGGTAACCCTATGAAGTAGGAACTATAGATCCACAAACCCTTGGGGCCAAATGTCTTTTGGAATTTGGAATTTTTCAGATATTAAAAAGGTAACAATTGTGCATGAATTGTATATTACTAACACCCCAAGTGGGGTATGGGGCAGCACCCTATAATCAAACACATTAATATCTCTGCGGTGAAATCCATGAACATTCTCACCAGGTAGCAAAAATGACACTATGAATAGTTTCGCATCCATTCAGGTCAGGTTTTGCCACCAAATAATTTGTGAAAAATCGTTTGGTTTTCAAAGCTCTTTAGGTTTTAGAACTGTGGTTTTGTATTATTATCATTTTATTGACCAAAAAAATGAGATTAAATAAATGAGAAAATGAAGCACAGAGAGGTAAAAGGACAGCTGGTGAGCTGTCCCCCAGTGTTCCACAGCGAGGTAAGTGACAGAGCTGCGATTTGAACCTGGGCAGGCTGGCTCTACACACTGGACTGTTACCCTCTGCCGCACTGCCCTCCAACCCAAGGATGAGAACCAGACAGGTTCTCCAAGGGTCCCACGTTGAGACTTCAATGCCACCTCAAGTCTTTATCAGCTAACACTTCGGAGAAATAAAGAGAAAGATCAAGTCTCTGATTAGGGTCCCTGACACCAACTTTCTTTTACATTTCCTTTTATTCCCTCCCTCAGTCTTCCCAGCTCCTCACCCCCTCCCTCCCCACCCCCATCATAAGTCATAACACCCAAGTTCACGACTTGCACTTTCTCGACTTCTTTCTGAAGTGTATACTTCCCCAAATCTAACCTGGGCAATCCATCTTTCCTCTGTATTCTCTAAGGATTTAGGTTTTTGCTGCTGATATTTATTGCCAAACACTTTTGTATCTGCCACTCCTGTGCCCTATCCCAAGACAGTCATCTCACTTGGAAACGCATCCTTGACTTTGCTCAGCAGCTCAATTACCCAGGTTTTCAGGAGTTCTGAAATTATTTAAGATCATTTTGCATCCTTTTGTTTTTTTCCACCCATCTTCATGATACATATTTCTCTGCTTATTTTCTTCACATTTTTCCCCAACATATAGCCTTAAGTTTTATTTGAATAGAAAATATGCAACTTATCTTTTTTGACACATGGATTAAGATGCTATATCTCCATTCAGTAAGAGGAGACATAATTATGATATAATGATATAATTATGGTGATTTTATTTTCTCCAGAAGCAAAATCTGAACATGTGATCTTAACATATAACTGATAATCATACAGAAACCTTGAAACTAGAGTTCTCCCAGAAAGTTAACAGGTATGGTTGCTGCCTTTCTACTCCATTTATAACAAAATCATATAACAAGCACACTTTGTGCTAATGACTTTCCTCATGTTATGTGGCAAACCTCTGAAAGGTTTTGAGAGGTAGTTTATGACCTCTTTAGAAAAACCTGCTGACAAGCGCTGGTCCTGCCTGGGCCATCTTGCATTTGATGGCCTGTTCCTGATCAACAGCTCCTCACCTTGTCCATTCGTGCAGGGCTAACCCGTGGTCCGTGCACACATTTTTGTTGACTTTCTTTTTCTCTAAACCAATATAAGAAATATTTCTCCATATTTCCTTTTGGTTCCATATTAACCTGACATTACAATTTATGATCTCATTACCATCTTTGCCTCCCTCTCTTCTTCATTCAGACCCACTCTAGGATGTGAAGTCACAGACTTCATTTCAAGCCTATCGTTTTCCTTCTCTCCAATTTCTAATCCTCCCTCTGAGAACCTCTCTTATTGGGTCATTCATTGGCACTGGCTCTTCTATATGATAGGAAAAAAAATACTATAGTATAGAGACTTTGGAATCTGGCAGCCCTGGGTTCTTATCTGACTCCATTACTTGCGAGCTGAGTAATCTTATACAAGGGGCTTAACCTTACAAATTTAAATTTCTTCATTCGTGAAATGGAGCTAATAACACAGAGTAAATTATTTTTATAATTTTATTTATTTATTTTTTCCCCCAAAGCCCCAGTAGATAGTTGTGTGTCATAGCTGCACACCCTTCCATTTGCTGTATGTGGGACGCAGCCCCAACATGGCCAGAGAAGCAGCGCGTCGGTGCGCGACCGGGATCCGAACCCGGGCTGCCAGCAGCAGAGCGCACGCACTTAACCGCCAAGCCACGGGGCCGGCCCCAGAGTAAATTATTTTTAAAATATGAATTAAAAACAATCTTCTATAAGTTGACAGAAACTAAAGAGCCAAATGTGACACATTAGAGAACATCTCTTTATCATGCAGACTGACACCTAGACTGCAAAATCCACTTCTGGGTGGGAGGCAACAGACGAAAAGAATTACAGACTTTCAAATTCAACTCCTTCCTTCTTTCGATGAGAAAAATGAAGTGGAGAAAAGTGAAGTGATAAGTATGGGGTCGTCATACTTCAAGAAAGCCTGGGATCAGAGTGTGGGCCTGTCAAAATGGCAACCACAGGTGAATGTTTGTCCGTGGGACTCTTTCCGGGTGCTTTTCAGGAGTCCCAGGACCTTTTCTCTCTCCTCCTCCAGGCACCATAGCCAGCCTGACCTCAGCTAGTAAAGCACCCTGCAGTTTGGATATTTCGGCTGCCTCCCATACTGCCTAGCCCTGGCCTTTGCGTGTGATTGCCATCCATCAGGCCTGCAAAAATATGGCTCTTCTTTCTTCCTTCCACCTTCTTCTCTTTTTTGTGTGTGAGGAAGATCGGCCCTGAGCTGACATGTGCCAATCCTCCTCTTTTTTTTGCCGAGGAAGACTGGCCCTGCGCTAACATCCATGCCCATCTTCCTCCACTTTATATGGGACGCCGCCACAGCATGGCTTGACAAGCAGTGCGTCAGTGTGTGCCCAGGATCCGAACCGGTGAACCCCGGGCCGCTGCAGCAGAGCGCGCGCACTTAACTGCTTGTGCCACCGCGCTGGGCCCTCTTCCTTCCACCTTCTAATTCTGTCCTTGCTAGGTTACAGCTGTATTCTCAAACCTGATCCCCCAGGGTCCCAAGTGAACAGGGTCACCAGACAACCATGCAGTATGATCCTCTTGGAATAAGCGAAGGAGAAAGCTGTTGTGTCTGTGACTCGAAAACTATAGCTCCTGTCCCCACTATTTACCTTTGCAT